AATAGAGCGGATCGACGGGTCAGAAGCGTCACAGAGATTAGTAGTCCTGTAGAAACAGCAGCGGCGAAGAAATCAATGAGAGCGACCCAGAGAAGCTGCCCCCCCCCCCCTCCCCATCCCCCCTCCCCTGCTCGCTCCCTCCCCCGACTGCCCCCGCTCCGACCCGACTCGACCCTCACAGGCATCGGCCAGCCCCTCGCTCTCCTCCTCAAGCAGGTGCGCACCTCTCCCTCTCTCTCCCTCTCCCTTCCCATCGCCTCGGTCCACCAGCGCGCCCAACCCCCCTCTGCGTCGCCGCCGTCGTCGTCCTCCTCGCCGCCCACCATCGTTCGCCCCGGGTCGCTCACTCGCCCTTGCCCGCACCTCGCAGAACCCGGCCATCACCGAGCTCGCCCTGTTCGACGTCGTCCCCGTCGTCAAGGGCGTCCCCGCCGACATCGGCCACGTAGACACGCCCGCCGTCACGACGGGCTACGTCAAGGACGAGGACGGCCTCAAGGGCGCCCTCACCGGCGCAGACCTCGTCGTCATCCCCGCCGGCGTCCCGCGCAAGGTGCGCCCCCCATCCCTCCCATCGTGTTGGGCGAACGACGGCCGGTGGGGAAGAGGCTGTGCCCCCCCCTCTCGAGGCCCCGCACTGCCCGCGCTCGCGCAATCGGGCCGCCCACCTCTTGAGCCTGCACTGACTCGCCTTGCACGGACCCGCGCGCAGCCCGGCATGACGCGCGACGACCTGTTCAACATCAACGCCGGCATCGTGCGCGACCTCGCCCAGGGCATCGCCGACTTCTGCCCCAAGGCCTTTGTCCTCATCATCTCGAACCCGGTCAACTCGACCGTGCCCATCGCTGCCGAGGTCCTCAAGGCCGCCGGCGTCTTTGACCCCAAGCGGTGCGTCCCCGTCCGAGCGAGCGCAGCCCACACCGAGCGACCCCGACTGACTCGCACCCTCCCCCTCCCTCGCACAGCGTCTTTGGTGTCACGACTCTCGACGTCGTCCGCGCGTCGACCATGTCGGCGCAGGCCATCGGCAAGCCCAACTCGGCACCCGAGTACACGATCCCGGTCGTTGGCGGCCACTCGGGCGTCACGATCCTCCCGCTCCTGTCGCAGGCCCAGCCGGCGCTCCCCAAGTCGCTGTTCGACGACGAGGCCAAGCTCAAGGAGCTCGTCAAGCGCATCCAGTTTGGCGGCGACGAGGTCGTCCAGGCCAAGGCGGGCGCCGGCTCGGCGACGCTCAGCATGGCCTACGCCGGCTACAAGTTTGCCGCGCAGCTCATCAGCGCCGCGTTCGAGGGCAAGACGGGCGTCGTCGCGCCGAGCTACGTCTACGTCAAGGGCAATGCCGACGTGACCAAGGCCATCGGCCAGGACCTCGCCTTCTTCTCGGTCCCTGTCGAGCTCGGCGTGCGTCCCGCCGCTCTCTCTCTCTCTTTCTCTCGGCCGCGCCTCACGTGATCCACGACGTCGTACTGACCCTTGCGAATGTGCGCGCCCGCAGCCCAACGGCGTCGAGAAGGTGCACCCGCTCGGCGACCTGACGGCGTTCGAGAAGGAGCTCCTCGAGGCGTGCCTCGGCGAGCTGCCCGGGTCCATCTCCAAGGGCGAGTCGTTCATCCAGGGCTCCAAGCTCTGACTCGCCGGCGCATCGACGGGCGCGAGCCACAAGGCGAGGATGTGAGAGGAGGCGTTTCCTCCACCTTGGACCCCATCTGCCGCCTCCCTTTCTCTCTCTTTCTTTCCCTTCCTCTCTCTCTCTCTCTCTCTCGTTCTCCTCCTTCTGGGCCTCTCGGACCTCTTCCTCGCCGTCGACTCGTGAAAATGCAGTGCGCGTTTCTGTACCTTGTCCTGCGAGAGAGATCTGGTTCTGCGAGGGTGAGTCGTTGCCTTGGCCGTGGCACGCCTCGCCGCAGCGAGAGAGAAGAGGCCACGGTCCAGGACGACGACGACGAGGAGGAAGCGCAAAAGGCGAGACACCGAGTGCCATCGATTCCCCGCTCGAACCTGCTCACGGCTGTCGAAGGCGGTGCGCCACGGTGCTTGCGGGAGCGAAAGCAAGCTGGCGTCGTCCTCTTGAACTGGTTCGAGTCCGTGAGGGCGGCGACGAGAACTCAGGCGAGGTGCTCGCGTCGGAACAAGCCGGGCTTGTGGTCGAGGGAGCGAGAGCGAGGCAGCGCCGTCGTCGCCGAGGCAAGAGCGGCATCGACAAGTTGGCCCGTCGCCTCTCGCTCCCTCTTCTCCTCCTCCCACCACCACCTTTCTCCAGCTCGAATCATGTGCGTCCACTCTCCCTCCTCCCCCTAGTCGCGCTCGCGCCACCACGGCTCGCCCCGTCGCCTTGCCGCGGCCCCTTGTCCCCCCTCTCCCCTCGTCTCCCGAACGTTCGCTGACCCACTTCCTCGCCTCGCCTCGCCCTGTCCCGCGCCCGCCTGCAGGTCTGCTGGTACTGGATCCGTCAACGTCGGCATCAAGTGCGTCTTCGTCCCCTCTCGAGTGCGCGCGCGAGTGAGCACCCGGACTGACCCTCGTCTCGTCACCCTTTTCCCAGCGGCTTCGGTGCGATAACAGCCTCGCCTCGCGCCTCTGGGCACATCCGACCACCAGTACTGACCCACAGCCCGCCTTGCTCCCCCGCCTCACAGGCCGCATTGGCCGCATCGTCCTCCGCAACGCGTGAGCCTCATCTCCCAACCCGATCCTCCTCCCCCCCTCATCCTGCCCGCCCCACTCGTACCTCTTTCGCCCGCATCAGCCAGCACAAACTGACCCATGCCTTCCTCCTCGTCTGCAGCATCGAGCACGGTGACGCCAAGGTCGTCGCCATCAAGTGAGCCACGGCCGTCTCGGTCGTCGACGTCTCGGCGACCGTGTCCTCCTCGCGCGCGCGTCGGTGACTGACCCCTTGCCCTGCCCGTGCAGCGACCCGTTCATCGACCTTGAGTACATGGTGCGTCCCCTTTTTCGCGCGACCGTAATGCCCCCGAGCGAGCGAGCCCGTTCACTGACCCTTGTCAACTCGAGCGCAGGTCTACATGTTCAAGTACGACTCGACCCACGGCCGCTTCAAGGGCGACGTCTCGACCAAGGACGGCAAGCTCATCGTCGACGGCCACGCCATCGACGTCTACAACGAGAAGGACCCGGCCTCGATCCCCTGGGGCAAGTCGGGCGCCGACTACGTCGTCGAGTCGACCGGTGTCTTCACGACCAAGGACAAGGCCGGCCTCCACCTCAAGGGCGGCGCCAAGAAGGTCGTCATCTCGGCCCCGTCGGCCGACGCCCCGATGTACGTGTGCGGCGTCAACCTCGACAAGTACAACTCGGCCGACACGGTCATCTCGAACGCGTCGTGCACGACCAACTGCCTCGCGCCGCTCGCCAAGGTCATCAACGACAAGTTCGGCATGAAGGAGGGCCTCATGACGACCGTCCACGCCACGACCGCGACCCAGAAGACGGTCGACGGCCCGTCGGCCAAGGACTGGCGCGGTGGCCGTGGCGCTGCCGCCAACATCATCCCCTCGTCGACCGGTGCCGCCAAGGCCGGTGCGTCCTCTCTCTCTCTCTCTCTGCGTCAAGGCGCCACCCGTCGACCGTGAGGACCCTGACTGACCTTTCCGCCCTCTCCTCGTCCCCGTCTTGCGCGCCCCTCTCGCCCTTCTACGCCTGCGTCGCCTCCCCTCGCCTGTCGTGCCCAACCTGCAGTCGGCAAGGTGAGCTCAACTTCTTTGCGCCGCCGAGCGTCACTGCCGTCTAGCAGAGGCCCCTTACTGACTCTTCTCCGCGTCCCCCTCCTTGCCAGGTCATCCCGGACCTCAACGGTGCGTCTCCTCTCTCCCCCTCCTGCATCAGCAAGTCACTGACGCCGCTCGTCCCCCGCAGGCAAGCTCACCGGCATGGCGTTCCGCGTCCCGACTGCCGACGTCTCGGTCGTCGACCTTACGTGCCGCCTCGAGCGCGGCGCGTCGTACGACGAGATCAAGGCGGCGATCCGCGAGGCGGCCAACGGCCCGCTCAAGGGCATCCTCGAGTACACCGAGGACGCCGTCGTTTCGACCGACTTCATCGGCTCGACCTCGTCGTCCATCTTTGACGCGTCGGCCGGCATTGCCCTCAACGACAACTTTGTCAAGCTCATTGTGCGTCCCCTCTTCTCTCTCGTCTCCCGGCGTCGCAGTCGTCGATCTCGTGTCGTGGGCGAGCCGGCCGTCGGTCGCCGTGAACCGGAACCCGCACTGACCCCTCGCTTCGTCCTCTCCCGCCTGCAGTCGTGGTACGACAACGAGTACGGTGCGTCGAGTCTCTCTCTTCCAGTTTGTCGCCGGTGTGAGGCTCCCGGGACTGACTCGCCTCGCCCGTCCCTCCGCAGGCTACTCGCGCCGTGTCGTTGACCTCCTTGTCTACATTGCCAAGAAGGACGCCGAGTCGGCCAAGCTCTAAACGGCTCGCCCACACCCCTTTCCTCTCTCTCTCTCCCTCCCGCTGTCGCCGCTGCAGCGCCTCCGTACCCCCCTCGCCTTGCCGTCTGTCCTCGAAAACAAGAAGCAGTTGGTCTCGCATTGCGCGTTGCGTGTACCGAGAGCGAGAGCGTGCACCGTGAGCTGCGCAGCCGCTGAAAGAGCAGAGACGCGCGAGCCAGGTTGACCTTGGGGATTCTACGTGAGCGAGTGTCCCCCGCTCATCGGCTCGCTCCTCTTCTCTCGCCTCTGTCGACCTCGCATCGTCACCATGCGCGCTTCTGTCTTGCTGCGACAAGCTGTCTCGCCTGACACGGGCGCCCAGGCCTACGCCAAGTCGCTCGCGTACGCGTCTGGCCTCGTGCGCCGGCAGGACCACGAGGCGCTGTGGGCGTCCTACTTCTACCCGCCACAGCTCCAGCCGGCGTACCTGGCCCTGCGCGCCTTCAACGTCGAGCTTGCGGGCCTCCCAGACCAGGTGTCGAGCCAGATGATCGGATGCATGCGCTTCCAGTGGTGGAAGGACGCCGTCCGCGGCCTGTACGAGGTGCGCCGCCCTCTCTCTCTCTCTCTCTTCCTTGAGCCTGGCGTACTGTCCAAGCACAGTCAGACGAACGAGCTGACTCTCCCTTGGCAAGCGCGCGCAGCACAAAGCTCCACCCCATCCCCTCCTCAACCTCCTCGCCAACCTCCCGCAACGGCCCTTCCTCTCGCAGTACCACTTTGCGCGCCTCGTCACCGCGCGCGAGAACAACTTCCTCAACCCGACCTTCCACTCGCTCCAGGACCTCGCCGACTACAGCGCCGGCACCCAGGCCTCGCTCCTGTACCTCCTCCTCCAGGCCACCGCCGCCGGCTCGGCGCCCGCATCCGCGCCCATACCCGTCGGCGGCGCCGCGACCCGACACGCGACCCCGTTCGAGCATGTCGGCCACGAGCACGACCCGGTCGAGCCCGGCTCGACGTCAGCCGACCTCAAGGACGCCGACGACCTGACGCTCGACCACGCCGCGAGCCACCTCGCCGTCGCTGTCACGATCGCGACCCTCGTGCGCTCGATCCCGCACCACGCCGCCAAGCGCGTCAACGTCATCCCGCTCGAAGTCGGTGCGTCCTCGCCCTCTTTTCGTTCCTCCCCCGTCGACTTGAGCGAGTCTGACTCGTCCCGTACCCCGTCGCCCGCAGCCACCCGCCACGGCCTCCAAGAAGAAGCCCTGTTTCGCCACGGCCCAGAGGCGCCCGGCCTCCAAGATGCCGTTGCGCAGCTTGCCGGCATCGCCGAGGCCGAGTTGAGGACGGCGAGGGAGTGCTTCAGGGGAACGACGGGCGTACCGAGACGCGCCGTGCCCGTCTTCTTGTCGGCGGTGCGTCCCTCTTCCTCACTCTCGAGGCGTCTCTGTCAGGCGCGAGTACGGCAGAACGATATCGAGGCGTCTTCATTCGAGCGCGCGCACTGACTGTCGCCTTTTTGCCCCTCTTCTTCCCTGCTTCACCTTTCTTTTCCTTCTCTTTCGCCTCTCACCTCTCTCGACCGCATCTCGTCCTCTCATTCTCGACCCGTCCCCTCCCTCGCCTCGACTGCGCGCTCGCACCCCCTTTGCCCGCTCGTCAGACCCCGGCACGCTCGTACCTCGACCGCCTCTCGGCCGCCAAGGTCGACTACAACCCGTTCGACAAGTCGCTCCAGGGCAGGTACTGGAAGCTGCCGTTCCAAGTGTGGGGCGACTCGCGCAAGGGCCATTTCTAGAGCGTTGCGCGCGCAGTCGAGGCGAGGAGGTCGAGGACGAGCGGGCGAGCAGTGCAACGGCGCTCGTCTTTCTCTCGATTCGGACGAGCTGTTGGTCTACGTGAGCGATGCTGCGAGAGAATGCCGAGAGCGGGCGGATTTGCGGCTCAAGCCCTGCCGACAGAAGAACGAGGAGGAAGTGGTCGAGCCAGCGGTCGCGGTACTGCCCTCTGTGAACCCCAGATGCTCTCGACGGACCTTTCGAGACGAGTACTCGAAAACTGAGCCCGATCGGCGACCCTCTCGCCTGGCCCCCCTCACGATTCTGAGCTGAGAAGGAGAGCGAGGAGGAGGTCCTCGAGCCAGCGGTCGCAGTACTGCCCTCTGTGAACCCGAGACGCTCTCGACGGACCTTTCGAGACGAGTACTCGAGAATTGAGACCGATCGGCGACCCTTTCGTCTGGCCGCCCTCACGATTCTGAGCTGAGAAGGAGAGCGAGGAGGAAGTCGTCGAGCCAGCGGTCGCGGTACTGCTCGCTGTGAACCCGAGATGCTCTCGACGGACCTTTCGAGACGAGTACTCGAGAATCGAGCCTGATCAGCGACGCTCTCGCGTGGTCGCCCTCGGGATTCTGAGCTGAGAAGGAGCGCGAGGAGGAGGTCCTCGAGCCAGCGGTCGCGGTACTGCTCGCTGTGAACCCGAGTCGCTCTCGACGGACCTTATGAGACGAGTACTCGAGAATTGAGCCTGATCGGCGACCCTCTCGCCTGGCCCGCCCTCACGATTCTGAGCAGAGAAGGAGAGCGAGGAGGAAGTGGTCGAGCGAGCGGTCGCGACACTGCCCTCTGTGAACCCGAGACGCTCTCGACGGACCTTTCGAGACGAGTACTCGAGAATTGAGCCTGGTCGGCGACCCACTCGCCTGGCCGCTTTGACGATTCTGAGCCGAGAGAGGAACGAGGAGGAAGTGGTCGAGCCAGCGGTCGCGGTACTGCTCGCTGTGAACCCGAGACGCCCTCGACGGACCTTTCGAGACGAGTACTCGAGAACTGAGCCTGGTCGGCGACGCTCTCGCCTGGCCGCCCTCACGATTCTGAGCTGAGAAGGAGAGCGAGGAGGAGGTGGTCGAGCCAGCGGTCGCGGTACTGCTCGCTGTGAACCCGAGACGCTCTCGACGGACCTCTCGAGACGAGTACTCGAGATCTCTCGAGCAAAGAGAGGCGGCAGAACGCGAGAGTTGCAGTCCGTTGCGCGAGAGACGGTGCAGGATGGTTCACGGGCGTGTTACAACAACCAGTACGAGAGAGAGAGAGATACGAGGCGGGTCGACGAAGGTTTGCGCGTGCGAGGGAATGCCGATGAGAGGAGGGAGGGAGGGGAAGGGAAGAGGGAGGTCGAGCCGGCTAGCCGTCGTTTGCGACGGCGGCGTCCTCGAGGTGCTGGACCTCGACGCCATTCGTGAGCACCCGCGCCTGCGGGGTCATAGCCGGCGACGAGGGCGTTGGCGACGGCGACGACGGGCTCGGTGCGCGCCCGTTCGCTCGAGGCAGGTCGCGCTGCTCGCCGTCGACGTCGACGTCGGGCGACTCGCGGCGCAAGGGTCGAGAGGGCTTGGCGGGCGTCGGTGGCTGAGTCGTCAAGGTGGGGAGGTCGACGTGTGGCGCACTCGGCGCCGGCGCTTGAGGAGGACAGGCGGGAGGTGGCGAAACGGGTCGATCGAGGGCGGCGGCGGCCGCGGCGGGCGAGGCCGGCTCGTCGACCACCTCGTCGGCAGGCGCGGCATCGAGCTGGTCCTCGGCGTCCGACGACGTACCCGACGTCTCGCTGAGCTGCTCGCGCTCGGCGTCGACCCCCTCGCTCGAACCCTCCTCGGCCTCGTGCCCTCGTCCCTCCTCGTCCTCCCGCTCGGCGTCCTCGACGTCCTCCGGCCGGGGCAGGACGACCTCGATGTCGCCGATGAGGAGCGTCTCGCGGCCGTCAGGCCCCGTGCGGATGTGCGGCGCGCTGCGCCCGCGCTCGGCCGCCGACGCCGACCGCGCCGCCGCGTCGTCGGCGCTCTCGCCGCTGCGGCCCCGGCTGCGCTCCTCGTCGAGCTCGAGCACGTCCACCTCGGCGTCGGCGTCGGCCTCGGCCTCGTCGGCGTCCGCCTCGCGCGTGCTCCCGAGCGCGGTCCCCCTCCCGCGCGGACCTGCTCCTCCCTCGCCGGGCGTCGCGCGCTTGGTCGACGTCGGCACGACGCCGTACGGCACCGAGCCCCACCCGCCTGCACCGGCGAGGTAGGCCGCACTGCCGCCGCTCGCGTGATAGTGCGCGTACGACGGGAGCGGCAGCATCTCGGGGAACGACCCGAACGCGATGTGCGACGAGCGCGCGATCGTCTCGCGGTCCTCGGCCGGGAAGATCGGGCGCGGTGCCGAGGACGATGCGCTCGGCGTCGAGTGGAGCGCGGTGGCGCCGGCGGGCGAGGCGAGGGTCGAAGACGAGGACGAGGCGTGCGGCGAGAGGTGCGGGTGCTGCAGGTGGTGGTGGGCGGCGAGCGAGTGCGCGTGCGCATGCGAGTGTGGGTGCGCAGACAGGCTCGCGAGGCCGTTGAAGCCGAGGCCCAGCGACGCGCTGCCGCCCAGAGGGGGCGGATTCGGCGGGGCCGTCGCCGAGAAGGGGAGCGGCGTCGGCGGCGCGGCGTACGGGTTCGGGTACGCCGGCGCGGCGTGCTGGGTTTGCGGACCGAGGTGGTGCTGCTGCTGGTGCGGGTGGGCGTGGTGCTGCTGGTGCTGGTGCTGGTGCCCGGGGAGCTGCCGCGGCAAGCTCTGCAGCCTCGGGCCGACGTGCGCGCCGCCGTACCCTCGCCCACCGCTCGCGCCTGCGCCGTACCCGCGCCCGTACGCGCCCGACGAGCCGTACGCGCTCGACGGCGCCGGCGGGTGGCCGGCAAAGTAGGCCGACGACGCCGCGAGGTCCGGGCTGCTCGGCGCCGTCAGGCTCACCGTCGTGCGCGGCAGCGACGCCGCGTGGCCGTGAGCCGTCGGAGCGGTCGCGGCGGTCGAGCCAGACGAGGAGCTCGAGCTCGAGGCCGTAGGCCCACCGGCGTCGCTCTGCGACGACGAGATGGTCGGGCCCGACGACGACGATGCGGCGCCGGCGCCGCCCTCGGTCGCCGCATTGCCGCCCTGGAAGAAGCGGTGGAGGTCGACGCCGGCGCCGCCCTGCTTGCCCGCCGACCCTGTCGCCGCCGCCGTCTCGCCGCCTCCTCGCACCGGCGCGCCGTTCCACGACGACCGGCGCTCGTGCCCTCCTGCGCCCGCTCCGCCCTGCCCTGCCGCGCTCGATGCCGCCGCACCTCGCGGCACAAACGCTTCGCCGAGCATGCCCTGCTGGCCCTGGCCGTCCTGCCCTCGGGACGCGCCGTCCTTGACCTCGTCCCGCTCGCCGCCGGCGCCCGCCCCCGCGCTCGCCGTGCGCTCCTTCCTCCCCGACGCCGCCGAGGCCCCAGCCCCGGGCGCGCTCGAGAGGTGGACCGTCGCGCCGTTGGCGGCCGCCCACAGCGGCGGTGGGTGCTGCTGCGGGTGCTGCTGCGAGTGGTACGAGTGCGGGTGGAGCGCATGCTGATGCTGATGCGGGTGTTGAGGGTGCTGAGGGTGGTGATGATGCGGCGAGCCCTGCGCGGCGGCGAGGCGCGGCGACGGCGCGCTGCGGCGGCGCGGGCTCTTGGGGCCGCTGCCGGCGGCGGCGGTCGTCGGCGTGGATGTCGACGGCGTCGCCGTCGAGGATGACGAGGGCGAGGGCGAGCCAGGCGGGCCGGTACCGCCTCGGTGCGGGTGCGGCGGAGCGTACGCGCCGTGATGGAGGTGGTGGTGAGCCGGCGGCGCGCCGTAGTGGTGGCCGTGCCCGTACGCCTGCGCCGGGTGCAGGTCGCCCGCCGCGACGGCGTCGGCCGGGTGGATGAGGAGGTAGTCCTCGCGCTCGTCGCACAGGGCGCCGATGAGCGTCCCGACGTTCTCCTCGGCCGAGGTCGACGTGGCCGCTCGAGGCGGCGTCGTCAAGATGCGGAACGCGCGCATGAACTCGCCGCGGATCTGTCGCACGAGGAGTCGACGGTGAGTGGCGCGCAGAGGGAAGAGAGGGAGGGAAAAGGGGGGACGCACGGTGTACAGGCCGTCGCGCGTGACGGTCCTCGCGACGTTGTAGTCTAGCTGGAACGGGTCCTGCTCGTGGCGCGTGTCAGTCTTGGAGCCCTCGAGGGCACGCTCGAGAGAAAGGGACAAGAGGGCGCACTTCTATGCAGAGCTTGTGCTGGTCGCGGACGATCAACTCGGGGTCGAACTCGAACTGCGGGCGCGGTCTCAACGTCAGTCGTCGCTCGTGCGCCAGGGTCTTGAGAGAGAGAAGAGGACGGACGTCGGTGTGCCACCCCTTGGCCACCTTCTGGAGGGTGCCCTTGTCGCTGCGGATGCTGACGACCTGGTGCGCGTAGTTGAACTCCTTGCTCCAGTACCGGAAAAAGTCGATCAGGAGCTCGCCGGCCGAGTCGGTGTTGGCCGTCTGGAAGACCGAGGGGAGGGCGTCGATGTCGTCGAAGAAGGCGATGTCGTGGCCGTCGAACGTGAGGTCGTCGAGCGGCGTCGCGTCGGGGAGCGGCAGGCGCTGCAGGTTGCTGCTCGTCGTCGAGAGCGGGCGAGATCGTGGGTCAGGACTCGTTGGGGTGGATGGGAGGGGAGGGAGAGGGAGGGCGGGACGCACGGCAGGACCGGCGGCTGCTTGACGTGGGCGAGAAAGTGGATGACGAGGAGGACGTAGCCGTACGAGCTCAGGGTGCCGCGGTACGGGTTGTTGATCTTTCGACGCTTGGTCCACACCTTGACTGCGAGGCGCGTAGGGCGGACGGGCGAGGGTCAGTCGGGCTCGACCGAGAGGGACGAAAAGAGAAGGGGAGAGGGCGAGGACGCACGGAACAGGACGAGGGTGCGCAGTCTCGAGTCGACCATGGCGTACGTCAGGAGGAGGCGCGTGTTCTCGAGCGCGAGGCGGTTCTCGAACCCAATGTCGCACGCGACGCCGGCCGGGCAGGCGGGGGTGGCCGGCATCGTCAACTTGATGATCGGTATTCGCGCGCGCGGGAGCATCTTGACGTAGAAGTTGGTCTCTGTGGGCGCATGGGGGCAAGAGGTGAGCCAAGGTTCGCTCTTTGACGGGGTGGGCACAGAGAGAGAGAGAGAGAGCGGGACGGACCTTGCTCGATGAGGCGTCCGAGGAGCTCGACGAGTTCAGCCGGTGCGCGCACCGGGGCGTCCTTGGCGAGGAAGCAGCACAGGTCCATGTCTGTTGTCGGAGGGTACGAGGGATGCGAGTCAGAAGGGGGCTGTTGCCGGGCGTGGTTGCGCGCTCAAAGACGGGGCGAGGTGCGGGAGGAGACTTGCCCGAGTTCTTGAGGGCAAAGCCGTTAGCCATTGAGCTGGATGGAGCAGATGTGAGTCAGTCGAGAGTCCCGGTGCGGCTTGGGCGAGGAGGAGTCGGGTTGCGACGAGAGAGAGAGACAGAGGAGGGAGGGAGGGAGAGACGGACCCGAACGGGAGGAGCTTTGCGCCGGGCGACACTTGGTGGACGAGGGTTTCGAGGTACTGGCGGGCCTGCTCCTTGGCGTGGTACTCGTCTGGCTGGGGGACGACCGAGGGGACGAAGGTGGTTTCGAGGTAGTGGGTGAGGTCGCGGGCATGGAGGTAGACGGGGGCGTCGCGGGTTGGGGCCGGGGTTGGTGGCAGCGGGTGGGTGTGAGTCGGTGGTGGTGGTGGTGGCCTGGACGAGGCTTGTGCGGGTGCGGTTGGCGACGAGGGACCAGAGTCGTCGGACCGAGGCGAGGCAGCGGGCGAGCGAGGTCGGGGCTGCGCGGTGGGCGAGCGCGAGGGGGACGGTGGGTTCGAGCTTGCCATGGTGAGAGCACGCCTGAGTGGCGCCAACTCGAAGCTGACGGGCGAGCGAGACGACGACGACGACGATTCAAGGAGAGAGCGAGTCGACCTCGTCCGGACCTCGTCGCTCTCGCTCACTCCGGCCCCCTGGACCGTCACAGCGACACGCAGTACAGCACCATGGGCATCCTCTTCAAGGTGCGCCATCCCCCTCGTCCACCCTCGACTCGCCCCCCTTCAACTGACCCCCTCCCCCTCCGTCCCTCGCTCGCAGCTCGTCGCCAGCTCGGCAGCAGTCGCAGGCGCCGGCCTGTACCTCGCTCCCGACCTCGCCCACCAGCAGCTCGCACACGCCACCGGCCGCACCGCCCCGGCTCCCTCGTCCTCGTCCACCTCGTCCCCTCGACCGGCCGACCCGGAGACCGTCCGCTCGCGCGTCAGTCCCCCTCGCCAGCCCAGCCACTCTGAGCCACTCGATCAGTCACTGACCCACCCTTGCCGCCCGCCGCAGCTCTCGCTGTACGACTCGCCCCCGCAACCGGCCCTCCTCGTGCCCGTCAAGTCGCCCTTGCAGGACGAGGTCGCCCTCGCCCGCTCGCACGCCCAGATGGCCCTCGACCGCGCAGCACACGCCACCCACGACCTGCGCGAGACCCTCGTCGGCTACGAGCGCCACGCCGAGGGTGCGTCGCCGTGTCCTCCTCGTCGCCTTACCCACGTCCCTCGACTGACCCTCCGTCTCGCCCACGTCGACAGTCGCCCTCAAGTCGGTCATCTCGGACAAGGACCAGCTCAACCCCAACGCCTTCTAGTGCGTCCCCGTCCGCCCACTCTCGCTCGGCGACAAGCACGACCCGGCTCACCTCGCTCGGTCCCTGCCTCCCTCGCAGCGTCGCCGTCGCCACCCTCGCCGGCTCGATCGTCGGCCGCAACCGTGCGTCCTGCCTTTCGCTCCTAGTGTCCGCCCTTCAGAGCGCCCTCGCTCACGCTCCTCTCGCCGCCTCGCCCCCCTCCCTCGCCTCGCTGTCGCCCTCTCTCCCGCACCCGGCGCCGCACCGCACCACAGGCATCCTCCTCCGCCTCTCGCTTCCGCCCCTCTTCCTCCTCGGCTCGACCGCCTACTTCCTCCCCAACTCGTGGGACAAGATCGTGCCGCGCCTCGGCCTCTCGGACGACTGGAAGTACGCCAACGCCCGGGCAAAGGTCCGCGACGCCAAGCACAAGGTCGAGGACAAGGTCAAGGCGTGAGACCGGTCCGTCGCAGCCCCATGTCTGTTTTGTGTAGATCCGCTCCGAGCCGGCGCAGTCTGGGAATCGCGAGCTTCCGTCCGTGTTTTCGCCTTTGGCTCGTCCCCTCTCGAGAGCGTCGTTCGGCACGTCGCGGGCTCGCACGCAGCCAGCTCGAGCCCTGTGCGTGCTCGAGAGGTCGTCCTCGCTCGAACAGCCCGACTGCGTCGAAAGTCGACGCACGGACCCGCGACCTTCTCAAACGCGCTTCCCTCGTTTGCTCGCTCTCGCTCTCGCTCTCGCTCTCGGCGGTCGACACGTCCCAGCCACTCGTTCCTTTGACCGACGACAACATGTTCCAGCGATAGGGAGAAAGCTGCGCGGCTGCGTCTCGCTCGACCTCGAGTCTTTGGCTTTGCTCGACTCGAGAGCTCACGATCCTGAAGCAGTCTTTGTGAACCCGCGACGCTCTCGACGGACCTTATGATACGAGTACTCGAGAATTGAGCCTGATCGGCGACCCTCTCGCCTGGCCGCCCTCACGATTCTGAGCTGAGAAGGAGAGCGAGGAGGAAGTGGTCGAGCGAGCGGTCGCGGTACTGCCCTCTGTGAACCCGAGGGGCTCTCGACGAACCTCTCGAAACGAGTACTCGAGAATGCGCGAGCGCCCCGAGCCTGTCGAGCATCGACGCACGGACCCGCGACCACTCAAACGCGCTTCTCTCGCTTGCTCGCTCTCGCTCTCGCTCTCGACGGTCGACACGTCCCAGCCGCTCATTCCTGTGACCGACGACAACATGTTCCCACGATAATGATAAAAAAGCCCCGCACGCTGCGCCTCGCTCGTCCACCGACCCTGCTTCGAGACGCCGAAGCTCGACCCGGCTCGACGATGGCGCTCGAGTCGGCGCTCCCTGGAAGCTGCACAGAGGACGAGAGGACACGAGGACGAGAGCGATCAGGGTCTGGCGCCGGAGGAGAGACTTGGAGGAGAGGCGAGACGGACCTGCGAGCTTAGGCGACGACGCACGACATGTACGACGTGACGGTCGGGTTGTGCTCCTCGTTCTGGAGCTCGACGTCGGTGGCCTGGCGCGAGACGGTGCACGACATGTACGAGGTGACGGTCGGGTTGTGCTCCTCGTTGACGAGGGCAGGAGCGGCGGCGGCCTCCTGGGTCTGGGCGAGGGTGATGGGGGCCATGTCGACGAGGTGAAAGAGTGTGGTGGAGGTAGGCGAGAGAAGAGTGAGAAGACGGTGGTGAGAGGAGAGGGAAGGGAGGGAAGAAAGCCGTTCGCGAGGCGCGCTTTATCCGGCTGCGAGCCTGCGCCGCCCGGACGACAAAGGCCGGCGAGCAGCTTTGTGCTCCTGCCTGCCTTTGTCCCTCGACGCCTTTGTGGGAAGCGAGACTCGTCCATCGACAGGCCGTGCACGATCAAAGCCGAGAAACCCGGACAAAGGGAATCGTCGCTTCGAGACACGCTCGCCGCAGGCTATCGAGCGCGCTCAACCGGTAAGCGATCGAGATGAACGACGACTCGACGCAGCCGTCCAGCGGCAGAGAGGCGGAACCGCGACGACCACGCGAGGGTCCGTCCGCAAACGAACTCGCTTTGTCGATCCGGCTCTCGAGAGCGTCTCGACCGCTCCCCCTGCAGCACCTCGCGGGCTCGCACACAGACAGCTCGAGCCTTGTGCGTGCTCGAGACGTCGTCCTCGCTCGAACGGCCCAACTGCGTCGAAAGTCGACGCACGGACCCGCGACCTTCTCAAACGCGCTTCCCTCGTTTGCTCGCTCTCGCTCTCGCTCTCGCTCTCGGCGGTCGACACGTCCCAGCCGCTCGTTCCTTTGACCGACGACAACATGTTCCAGCGATAGGGAGAAAGCTGCGCGGCTGCGTCTCGCTCGACCTCGAGTCTTTGGCTTTGCTCGACTCGAGAGCTCACGATCCTGAAGCAGTCTTTGTGAACCCGCGACGCTCTCGACGGACCTTATGAGACGAGTACTCGAGAATTGAGCCTGATCGGCGACCCTCTCGCCTGGCCGCCCTCACGATTCTGAGCTGAGAAGGAGAGCGAGGAGGAAGTGGTCGAGCGAGCGGTCGCGGTACTGCCCTCTGTGAACCCGAGAGGCTCTCGACGGACCTCTCGAAACGAGTACTCGAGAATGCGCGAGCGCCCCGAGCCTGTCGAGCATCGACGCACGAACCCGCGACCTTCTCAAACGCGCTTCCCTCGCTTGCTCGCTCTCGCTCTCGCTCTCGACGGTCGACACGTCCCAGCCGCTCATTCCTGGGACCGACGACAACATGTTCCCACGATAATGATAAAAAAGCCCCGCACGCTGCGCCTCGCTCGTCCACCGACCCTGCTTCGAGACGCCGAAGCTCGACCTCGACTCTTCCGACCTGGCTGAACTCGACTCGACTCGACCCGGCTCGACGATGGCGCTCGAGTCGGCGCTCCCTCGAAGCTGCACAGAGGACGAGAGGACACGAGGACGAGAGCGATCAGGGTCTGGCGCCGGAGGAGAGACTTGGAGGAGAGGCGAGACGGACCTGCGAGCTTAGGCGACGACGCACGACATGTACGACGTGACGGTCGGGTTGTGCTCCTCGTTCTGGAGCTCGACGTCGGTGGCCTGGCGCGAGACGGTGCACGACATGTACGAGGTGACGGTCGGGTTGTGCTCCTCGTTGACGAGGGCAGGAGCGGCGGCGGCCTCCTGGGTCTGGGCGAGGGTGATGGGGGCCATGTCGACGAGGTGAAAGAGTGTGGTGGAGGTAGGCGAGAGAAGAGTGAGAAGACGGTGGTGAGAGGAGAGGGAAGGGAGGGAAGAAAGCCGTTCGCGAGGCGCGCTTTATCCGGCTGCGAGCCTGCGCCGCCCGGACGACAAAGGCCGGCGAGCAGCTTTGTGCTCCTGCCTGCCTTTGTCCCTCGACGCCTTTGTGGGAAGCGAGACTCGTCCATCGACAGGCCGTGCACGATCAAAGCCGAGAAACCCGGACAAAGGGAATCGTCGCTTCGAGACACGCTCGCCGCAGGCTATCGAGCGCGCTCAACCGGTAAGCGATCGAGATGAACGACGACTCGACGCAGCCGTCCAGCGGCAGAGAGGCGGAACCGCGACGACCACGCGAGGGTCCGTCCGCAAACGAACTCGCTTTGTCGATCCGGCTCTCGAGAGCGTCTCGACCGCTCCCCCTGCAGCACCTCGCGGGCTCGCACACAGACAGCTCGAGCCTTGTGCGTGCTCGAGACGTCGTCCTCGCTCGAACGGCCCAACTGCGTCGAAAGTCGACGCACGGACCCGCGACCTTCTCAAACGCGCTTCCCTCGTTTGCTCGCTCTCGCTCTCGCTCTCGCTCTCGGCGGTCGACACGTCCCAGCCGCTCGTTCCTTTGACCGACGACAACATGTTCCAGCGATAGGGAGAAAGCTGCGCGGCTGCGTCTCGCTCGACCTCGAGTCTTTGGCTTTGCTCGACTCGAGAGCTCACGATCCTGAAGCAGTCTTTGTGAACCCGCGACGCTCTCGACGGACCTTATGAGACGAGTACTCGAGAATTGAGCCTGATTCGCGGCCGCTCTCGCTACTCAGCGTTGCGCAGGCCGCACGCTCGCCGGCGCGGTCGTGTCGCACGTGTCTCTGATTTAGGCGACCCGCTCATTCGACAGCCTTGCCGAGGTACAGTGGAGGAGGACGAGCTTTGCTATACTTGAAGGATGCGCCGTCAATCACCGACCGCCGCTGTGAGCGCCGACCGCGCCCAGGAAGCCGACGCGCGAGCGCTCACACGCCGCCCCGCGGCTCGCGCAAGGTGCCCGCACGGACTGCCACCTCGACCAGCCTGCAGGCTAGCCGCCAGCTGTCTATGGCCACCAGCCAAGCGTCCTGGCTCACGCGCAACGGCGCTGCGCCGGCCCTCACGCCTTCTCGCCCCGCTCCGCCTGTACCATTCGGTCGCGTCGCCGCCGACACGAGCCTCCAGCCCGGCACTTGGACGCCGCCGTCGAGCTCTGCAGCACCAGTCCTCGCGTCGGACCAGCACCGCTCGCCGCCAGCAGGGCCTCAAGCCGCGAGGGCGCAGACGATCGTGCGCCGAGGGTGGGTGAGCGCCAAGGAGGACGGGCTGCGAGCGTGGCTGTGGAGCAAGAAGTGGCTCGTCCTGCGCGAGCAGTCGCTCGCCCTGTACAAGAACGAGGTGCGCCCGCGCCCGTCTCTCTGCCCTGCCCTGCCCTGCCCCATCCTCGTCGACGTTCGGGCGCCATCGTGCCCGCACAACCAGCTGACCTCTTTGAGCACACCTGCAGGGCCCTTCGACCGCTCCTTCGACCGTCATCGAGCTCGCAGACGTGGTCTCGGTCACGCGCGAGGACCTCAAGCCGTTCTGCATCGCCATCGCGACCGCCGCCCGCCCGTACTACCTCGCGCTCAAGTCGGACGAGGAGCTGTACGCCTGGATGGACGACATCTACGCCCGCTCGCCCCTCATCGGCGTCTCGAGTCCGACCAACTTCGTCCACCAGGTCCACGTCGGCTTCGACCCGGTCTCGGGCGCGTTCACCGGCCTCCCCGAGCAGTGGACTCGGCTCCTCACGAGCAGCGCCATCACCAAGGAGGACTACGCCAAGAACCCGCAAGCCGTTCTCGACGTCCTCGAGTTCTACACGGACATCCAGAAGCGCGAGCGCGACGAGTACGGCCTCGGCGCGACGAGCATGGGCATGACGGACGTCAGCGCAGCTCTGCACCCGCTCGACGGCCCGGCCGCCCCAGCCCCGGCGCGGTTCGACGCGGGTACCGGTCTCGCCGGGCAGCGGTATCCTGCGAGCCTCGAGACCATCCGCACGATCCCGGCCCCGCCCCACGCCAGCACCTCGACCGCGTCCTCGACCGTGCCCGCGCCGCCTACCGCGCCACGCGCTCATCCTCCCTCGGCCCCGACGACCGAGACCAACTATCCTGTCGCGCGCCCAACCCCGCCGGGCGCGGCTCCCGCTCGCCCCGCCTACCCGGCAGCCCACCCTCGACTACCGACCCCTCCCAACCTGTCCCCCATGGCCCCTGGGCGCGCCGCTCCTCCGCCTCCCACCTCGTCGCCGCGCGGTACGCCAGCTCCGCCCGGCTTGAGGCCGCTCCTCACGAGCGGCAAGTCGAACAGCAACTTGCGCGACCAGAGCTCGGCTTCGACCCGTCCTGCGCCTCCCGTACCAGAGTACGCCAAAGGCGTACCAGCCGGCGCGAAGCCTCTGCGGCTCCTCGCGGGAGCCGTCAGCAACGCGACGCCGGGCGCGAGCGGCGCGTCGGCCACGGCACCGGTCCACAAGGCGGTCCAGGGCGCCAAGAAGGTCGACAAGGCGCCGCACGACCGCCGCATCTCGTCGCTGTCCGAGGCGCAGGTCATGGCCAAGCTCCGGAGCGTGTGCTCGCCTCAAGACCCGAACGGCATTTACTCCAAGATCAAGAAGGTCGGCCAGGGCGCGTCGGGCTCGGTCTTTGTCGCCAAGGTCCTCGCCGACGGCGCCAAGGTCGCGATCAAGCAGATGGACCTGAGCCACCAGCCCCGCAAGGAGCTCATCGTCAACGAGATCCTCGTCATGAAGGAGAGCCACCACCCGAACATCGTCAACTTCCTCGACTCGTTCCTCGTCGCCGGCACCGAGCTCTGGGTCGTCATGGAGTACATGGAGGGCGGCGCCCTGACCGACATCATCGACAGCAACACGCTCGAGGAGGACCAGATCTCGTGCATCTCGAACGAGGTGCGTCCCTGCTCTCTCGTCCCGACTCGCGCCACTCGTCCGACGAGCTCACCCTCCCGCAACCGCAGACCTGTCGAGGCCTTGAGCACCTGCACGCCCAGAGCATCATCCACCGCGACATCAAGAGCGACAACGTCCTGCTCGACGCGCAAGGTCACGTCAAAATCAGTGCGTCCAGGTCGCCTCTTCTTCTTCTCGAGGTCCACCTTGCCCACCTCGCCCTTGGTCCAGTCGCCCTTGTCTGTGTACACGTCACTGACTCTCTACGGAGCGGCCCTTGTTGTCCGCAGCCGACTTTGGCTTCTGCGCCAAGCTCACCGACCAGAAGTCGAAGCGCGCGACGATGGTCGGCACCCCGTACTGGATGGCGCCCGAGGTCGTCAAGCAGAAGGAGTACGGCGCCAAGGTCGACATCTGGTCGCTCGGCATCATGGCCATCGAGATGATCGAGAACGAGCCGCCGTACCTCGACGAGGAGCCGCTCAAGGCGCTCTACCTCATCGCGACCAACGGCACGCCGACGCTCAAGAAGCCCGAGAAGCTGAGCAAGGAGCTCAAGAACTTTCTCGCCGTGTGCCTGTGCGTGGACGTCAAGTCTCGCGCAACCGCCGACGAGCTGCTTCAGGTCCGTCGCCTCGCACTCGAGCCCCCCCTCTCGCGCACTCTCAGTCGCCCTGACCCTCCTCCTCGTCATGTCGCAGCACGAGTTTCTCAAGAAGGCGTGCCCCTTGTCCGGCCTGTCGCCGTTGTTGCGCTTTCGGGCTGGCTCCCGTTGAGGCGCTTTGTGTACGGCACTGCGCGCGCTCTCGCTCTGCAAGGCCTTTTCGTCTGTCAAGCCGGCCCTCTCGATGCGGCAGTAGCTCTCGCACTCTCGAGAGACGAGGAAAGACTATGCGGTATGCGGTGTGCAGAGAGAGGAAAGAACGAAAGGGAGAGAGTAGAGAGGGGCAGGGCCGACAGACAGGCGAGGAGGGGCCGGAAAAAAAAGGGCAAAGAGGGGACTACTAGAAAGGCGAGGTGGCGCACAAAGTCTCTCACTGCGTGGCACGGCGGACCATCTGTATTTTGGTAGAGAGGGGGAGAGAGAAGGACGACAGGGAGGGAGAGGGAGGGCGAGAGAGAGAGAGAGTCAGTAAGGGCCCGCACGAGAGACGAGACAGGCAACGACTTGCCTCGCGCGCCCACTTGGCCACCTTCTTCGTCTCGGAGCCGCCGAGCTTTGTGCGACCCGCCTTGAGCAAGTCGCCGACCCACGGCGAGCTGAGCGGCTCCTTGAGCTGCCCGTTGGGGAACGCCTCGGCGAGGTCGCCCAGAAGGCCGATGGCGGAGCGCAGGATGGCCTCGGAGCGGTCCTGGTCGGTGAGGGTGAGGTGAAGGAAAGTAAAGACGTCGGCGATGTAGGGGAGGAGGAGGTCGGCCTTGCCGCCAGTCTTGAGCCCGCCGACGATGCCAGTGTACGCCTCGAGGATGCCCTCGCGGAGCGTGTTGACGTAGTCGACGAGGTCGTAGTTGTTCTGCACGAGCGACCGAGTCAGGACCATGCCCGGCGAGGTCGAGAGAGGGAGCGAGGGACGAACCGGGTCGGCGCGCATGATGCCAGCCTGCTTGAGGACGGTCATGCTCGTGTGGAGGAACGGCTCGAACGCGGGGCCGACGGCCAGGGCGATGTCGCCAAAACAGCTGAGGATCGGCGGCTTGACGCTGCGGTGCAGCACGTTGCTCTGCAGTGCCGCGAGGAGGCCCTCCATGAACCCTTGGCAGTACGGGAGGCTCGCGTCGCCGAGCGCACGGCACACGTCGCCGATGAGGCCGACCGCGATCGAGCACAGCTGGTACTCGTCGTACGCGGCGAGGGCTTGCGACAGGTACGGCAGGAACGCGGGCAGGAACGGGTGGAAGTCCGAGTCGAGCGCGGCCGTGACGGCCCCGACCGCCAGGAAGGCGTCCTCGAGGATCGGCGACTGCTTGCCGGCCGTCGAGATGAGGCGCAGGAGGAGCTCCATGATGCGGTGCGCGAGGGGCTGGATCTCGCGACCGAGGCGACGGACGATGCTCTGCAGGGCGCGACGTGGTCAGGGCTCGAGTCGCTGCAACGCTGACGGCGAGGGAGGGCACGACGCACGGTGAGGACGCTGCAGATGTTGACCTGCATCTCGTTGTAGTTGTTGCGGTCGTCGGCGCCGACGAGCTGGCTCTGCGAGGGAGCGACCACGAGGTCAGGCGCGAAGGCAAGGACAGGCGATGAAAAGGGTGCGGGCGCACCTGCATGTTGAGCAGCGCTTCAGAGCGGTCGAGGACGGCGATGACGAGCTTGGACACGACGGGCAGGCAGTCGTTCGGGGCGTGTGCCGCGAGCGTGGACAGCGCCTCGTACGCCGAGGTGCGCGAGTTCGACTCGTTATTTGCCCTGCTCAAGTCGTCGATACGTGCGTCAGGAACCTGGGCCGTGGCAAACTCGAGAGAAGGGAAAGAGGGACGCACGTTTCCGCCAGGTGGAGAAGCGCCGAGACGATGCCGTCGTAGAAGGCGCTGAGCGCGCACGAGTCGGCGCCCGAGTCGCCGAGCTGCTCGGCGAGGTTCATGATGCTCCAGCAGCAGTTGCTGACGATACGCGACGACTGGTGCAGGCCGGACACGAGCGCGCCGACCATGGGTCCCAAGTGCGCGTCGAGGTCGATCGTCTTGACGAGCACGTCCGACACGCGCCCGAGCGTCCAAGCCGTCGTGTCGCGCACGTGCAGCGACGAGTCGGCCATCATCTCGATCAATGTCGGGAGCGCCTGCGTGACGAGGGGCGCGAGAATCTTCTCCTCGGGCCCGTCCAAGATCGAGCCGAACGCCATGACGGCCGCCTCGCGGTGTCGCCAGTCGGCGCTCTTGATGTTGGCCTCGACGAACGGGATGATGGGCGCCACGATGCCGTCGCCGACGCACTGGGCGAGGAGGGCGAGACAGGTGCCGGCGGCCATCGACACGTTCCACTCGTCGTCGGTCGCGTCCTCGTCCTGCTTGGTGAGGAGCTGGAGGAGGACGGGCAGGACCTCGGGCAGGGCGACGCGCGCAAAGTGCGACGACTCGCGCTCTGGCGCCTCGCTGTACTCGGCGGCCTCCTCGGCCTCGAGCGCGAGCTCGATCTCCTCGTCGCACACGGTCGACCAAAACTCGACCGCCTGCAGGGCGACGTTCTCGTCGGCGTGCTTCATGCCGAGGACCGTGAGCTGCACACGATCGTGGAGGGAGAGTTAGCTTACTGATGAGGGTCGTCGAGGAGGGGGCAGAGAGAGAGAGAGAGAGAGACAGGGGATGGGCGAGAGAGGAGGGGAGAGAAGAGGAAAGGCCCGAGCGGCGACGCACCCCGAACAGCGCGCGCTCCATGTAAAACTTCATATAGTCGTAGTACAGGTGCATGATGCGGACGAGGCAGGCGAACGCCGAGACCTGGACGTCGGACGAGGGCGACTGGGTCGCCTCGCACACGACCTGCATGATGTAGTTGCGCTCGCCCTGCGTGCAGCGCCCCAGGACGACAGGGTGTCAGTCTCAGTCTGCTGCGACGAGACAGGGACGAGGAGCGCACCTCGCGGCTGAAGTTCTCGCGGACGAACTCGAGCGAGTTGTACAGGGCGTTGATGGCGGCGAGCTGGACGTCGTGGCTGCAGGCCGAGACCGGTCAGGACACGAGCCTGCGAGGACGCAAGGTGGCAGAGCGCTGCGCCGCCAGGCGCCGGGCGCGGGGCTGAGGAGAGGCGGGACGCACCTGGGCTCCTCCTTGCGAACACCCTGCACGACGGCCGTCAGGATCTCGTTGGACTGGGCCGCGAGGATCTCGGGTTTCTGCGGGAGCTCGAAGGCGACGAGGTGTGCGACGTAGAGGGCGAGGAGAGACACGGGAAAGGGAGGAGGAGAGAGAGGGTCAGTGAGGGGGTCGACCGGGCACGAGAGGGAGAGAGAGAGAGAGAGCGAGAGGGGACGTACGATGGCCTCGCAGATGTAGCCAATGGTCTGGAGCGTAGCCTGGCGCAGGTTGGGGTTGTCGCTCGGGTTGGCGAGCTGGAGGAGCTGGCCGACGAGGCCAGGCCACATGCCGGCGGGGAGCTCGACGGCGGCGACGGCGGCGACGACTTGGCCCGAGACGTTGCGGGCACCCCTGTCGGACGCGGCCAAGGTGGCCAACGCGTCGTGCTTGACCGTGTCGCGCGTGTGCGGGTCGAGGCTCTTCCAGCGGGCGGCGTAGTCGTCCTGGCGGGCGGCGTCGCGGGCCGAGACGGCGTTCTTGATGGCGAGGCCGGCGGCGTTGCGGATGTGGGACGGGGCCTGGTCACTGGCGAGCGTCTGGCTGAGGTTGGCGAGGTAGGCGGCCGGGTTGGATGAGAGGAGCTGGGTGAGCTGCTCAGTGGCGGCGTCGCGCTCCTGCTGGTGGGGCGAGAGGGTGGCGGCGAGGACAGTGTTGGCGTCCATGGCTGGGCGCGACGAGCTGGGCGGCCAGAGCGAGGTGGGACGAGGGAAAAGGGCGAGGAGGGGGAGCAGGGGGGGGGGGTGGGCGAGGAGCAAGGCACCTCGAGCCCAGGCTCGGCCCGCGCGCGTCCAATACAAACGCGCTTATCACTCTCGTAAGGCCCACTTTGTATTCCGCCTCGCGCTCGTCGTCTCGTCGCAGCTTGCTCCTCTCGCGCGCTCGCTCGACTCGGCTCGGCTGTACGACGACGACGACACACCGGCACCGTCCACCTCGCCTCTCGACCCGGCCCACCCGCCCAGCACCAGCCCTCCCTCCACTTCTCCCACCTCCCTCCTCATCTCGATGAGCGCCGACTTCAGGGTGCGCCCCCTCGCCCTCTCTGCCGCTCGCCCGACTGTACCGAGCTGACTCTGTCGAGTGCACAGGGACGTGGACGCGGCCGCGGCGGCGCAGGAGGCGGGCGTGGAGGTGGACCGACCGGCGGCGGTGCAGGCGGGGGACGAGGTCCTGCGGGCGCCAGGGGCGAGGACCGGCCAAAGCGCGAGGCCATTCTCGACCTCGCCAAGTACGTCGACAAGCAGATCCGCGTCAAGTTCACCGGCGGTCGCGAGGGTGCGTCCTCCTCTCCCTCGTTCCCTTCCTCCCCTCCCCATCCTCGCGACGCAACCTCTCTTCCCGGTCGTCGCCTCGCCCTCGACTTTCCTGCCCTCACCGGGAACTGTCGACAAGCTGTGACCAGATCGACCGTCGCGCGCATCTGCCCACTGACGCCGCCTCGCTCCCGGCACGCAGTCGTCGGCGTCCTCAAAGGGTACGACCAGCTCCTCAACCTCGTCGTCGACGACATCGAGGAGGCCCTCAACGGTCCGTCCTGTCTCGCACGCCCTCGCCTCGATCGCGCAGCTTCGGTCCCTCGCTCACGCTCTCCCTTCCTCCCTCCTCGAGCAGATCCTGCGACCGGCCTGCCGTTCGTGCCTGCACGCTCGCGCTCTCTCGGTCTCGCCGTCTTGCGCGGGACGAGTCTCGTCGTCATCTCTCCTCTCGACGGGTGCGCCCACCATCTCTCTCTCTCTCTCTCTTGCTCGTCCTGTGCGCTCGCAACGTCGCTCACGCCTCTCTCGTCGCACTCAGGTCGGAGGAGATCGCGAACCCGTTCGGAAACTGAGAAGGTTCAGTAGCACCAGGGCCATGCGCAATGAACTCAAACAATGTCCTGCTCCTCCTCGATCACTACTTTGATCCCCTCCTTGACACCTACCTCGCGGCCGATCTCGAAAGCTGGTACTTGACGAGGCGCAAGGCGGCAGTCGGCCGAGCGAGAGCCCCATCGCGTCCAAGTGAATGTCGGCCGAGCCCTGTGTCGCGACCGATGGAAAGAGTCAGTTCTGACCACTATGAGGACGAGGGCGACGAGAGCGAGCGTACCGAGACCGAGAGTGCTGCGACGTATCTCCTGCTCGCAGGTGCAGAGCGCTGCAGATGCGCTTGTACGCCGTGATGGCCTCCGTGCCGAAGCCGAAAGCGGCGAAGAAGATGAGCCCAACAATAACGTTCGCCCACGAAGTAAAGTCGTGAGCCGGCTCGTCGCCGTACGTGACGGGACGTACATGCCACTGCGAGCCGAAGATTTAGTGACTCCTTCTGGAATGGTTTCGAGAGAAAGGACACAGGCACGCACGGCTGAATGAGCATAAGTCCACGAGTAGTCGTAGTAGCGGCCCGAGGACTGGATGTTGACGATGGCGGACCAGACCGAGAGGGGGACGCCGACGCAGAGGTACGCCATGGACACGGCGCCGAGTCGGATGAACCGAGCTGTCGTCAAGGCCGAGTGAGCGCCGGCGACGACCCGACCAAAGTTGCGGCGATGGCGGACCAAGCGGTAGACCGTGTAGGCTGCGCAAGAGCGTGTCAGTACGGCTCTTATGGCTGGGCACGTGAGGGTGTGCTCGTACCTGAGTATAGAGTTCCGCCGACGGCAAAGAGGGGCGACCAGATGATGCGCAGGACGAGCGTTGGCCACGTCATCACCTGCGTAACCTGGCAACCTCGACCGCGAACGAGCCGATAGCGATTCGGCTGATACAGGACGTGACACGCCATGATGACGCCCGGCACGCCAAACGAGAGCAGGTAGTCTTGGAGAGCGCGTCGACGTCGGTCCTTGCGAGTTATGGCCGTCGCCCTCGGGCTGACGATGTCGGCGAGGAAACGAGCGATGCAGAAGACAGCTGCGACCCGACCGACTTCTTGGCCGATAGCGAGCTGTACGCGGAATGCAGATGGTCAGTAATACAGCCAATTGACTGAGGGAAACGAGGAAGACGACGCACCTTCACCCGAATGTCGCACCAAGCTGGCGCTCGATCGACGTCGTCGTGATACCAGAGGACCGCGTTCACCTGTTGGCCGGCTCAGTCAGTGCTGTAAAAGCGGGTACAAAGAAGCGAGGAGACGTACAAACTCGATGAGGTTCGTGAGGACGACCCAAACGCCCATGGCGATGGGGCCCGAGTTGCCCTGCACAAACTGCCAGTACAGAGGCGCGCTGTTGAGGACGACGAGGAGGCCGCTGAGGACGACATAGGCGAGCTGCCAGGACATGGTAGCGAGGAGGTCGAAAGCAAAGAGCGACAGCCACTCTCTCGAGAGTCTCTCGCTCGATCCGGGGAACAAAGGGTGTCTCATCGTGAAAGAGGAGAAAGGCGTCGCAGTGCTTGTCGCTCTTTCAAGGTTCGCTCCACCGTCCATCTACTTCTTCTTGACCTCCTTCCTGCGGACCTGCTCGTCGCCGACAAAGATGCCCTTGCCCTGCGAGCGACGGCGGCGGCGACGAGGGAGGGTGGGCGAGGGTGCGGCAGACGGACGAGTCAGTCCGGCGTTACTCTCGAGAGAGAGAGGGAGAGAGAGAGAGAGAGAGAGAGAGGCCGGGCTCACGTTGTAAGGTTCGGGGACGCGCCAGCTGCGGATGCGGGCGGCGACCTGGCCGAGGCGCTGCTTGTCGATGCCGGCGAGGAGGATCGAGGTCGGGGCCGGGGTCGACGCGACGACGTCGGGCGGAAGGTCGACGAGGACCGGGTGGGCAAAGCCGAGCTTGAGGTTGAGGCGCATGCGGCCTGGTCCGAGTTGGGGCGCGGGTTCGACGGCGGCGCGGTAGCCGACGCCGACGAGGCGGAGCGGGAGGGTATAGCCGACCGAGACGCCGACGACGGCGTTGTGGACGAGCGAGCGCGTGAGGCCCCACACGGCGCGCTGGTGCTTGACGGCCGGGTCGTCGACGGCGACGCGGACGAGCGTGGTCGAGGCCGGGTCGGCGGCGTCGGCGGCGGCGGACGCGGCGGGCTCGCGCACGAGGTCGAGGCGGACAAAGGGGGCGATGTCGACGGCGAGCTCGCCCTTTGGGCCACGGACGCGCGCTGGAGCCGAGGGTCGCGAGGGGCGGATCAAGTCGACAGAGGGGGGGAGCGAGATTGGGGCCGAGCCGACGTGGGAGCGGGCTGGGGTACGTCTAAATAATC